GGCAGTTGATCATCTTTCATCACAAGTGTACATGGCAAAATACGATTTCGCCCTTGTAAGATGGATCCAGAGAGCACCACGGATCTACTCATCAGTACACTCGAATGATTTATAGTGACAGGTGCCAGTTTGAGTAGACGTTGTTCGAAGGTATGACACTATAAATAAAAAAAGAAAAAAAAAGGAATCGAAGTCAGGAAAAGTTATGCTTTACCTGAACGTATGCTCCGATGTTCAAGCGAACATGATCACCAACAGTTACAAGATGAGGATCAGTGAGAGAGCTAATATCATGTAGAATGACGTCGTATCCGATGCTTGTACCGAGAGCACGATAAAAAAAATTAAGATACTGTGTTCCAGACAGAAATGGACCGATACAATAGTGAAAATCAACTATAAATACACTGAAAAATTGTCGTGCACTATTGATTACTTCTGAGTAAATGAAGTGTGTGCGTTCTTCTTTATGCGGAATCGAGCAGTAGTAGGCAGTACAGTAAAGAGCCGTATGGACAAATAATGCAGCAGTATATGGCAGCCACATATATGGAATGATGAAGATAATTTTGCAGATCAAGAAACTAAGAAACGTGAAGAGGATAGTAGAAACAGAGAAAGACTCAAAAGATGACATGTTGCTCGTGAAAGGTATATTATCGGGTATTGAAAAGGACGTTTTACGAGCTGGAATACCAAGGAAGACTATACCAGTATCACAATTGTTCGTTTTCTGTGTGACAAGAGTATAGACACCAACGATTGTTTTGGTTGCAAGCCGTGTGCCTGACATAACAACACACCAGTTGCCAAGATTTGTGCCAGAACCAAGATGAATCTCATTCATGCGACAAAGACCCATAGGTGTCATTTCGAATGAAGCAAACATGATTTCTCCGAATGCTGTTGTACCATATTCAATTTTGAGAAGATTTGATGGAAAACGTACTATCTGTAAAAATTGCGCTAATTTAACATCATCTTCGACATAAGCTCCCAACCAACGAAGGAGAATAGGTATAATTGGATCATATGCAGGCAGACATTCGAATGAGCGATGAAACGATGATATGACCAGTTGGCGTAACCATAATTTGTGTAAGTAATAGTAAGAATTGAGCGGATAGTCGCCTGGGGAAACGTAACCCACAACGAATTTTAACAAGAGTAAGACAACGATGAGACTTGCTAGTGTCCAGAATAACCAGGCAAATCCAAGACTCACAGGCAGTGGAAGCCACAAAGTCGAGCAGGAATGATAGACGAAGAAAGTTAAGGCCAAAAGTACGCTATGGATGAAAAGGAGGGAGAGTAGACAAATGAGCTGATATAAAGTTTGACCAAATGACAAGATTCTACTCTCGATAGTTTTGTAGCCAACTGATGCTGAGATGTACCCAGTGATGGCGGACATGGGTTCGATATGAATGTAATCTTGAATTATTACACCATCGTAAAGTACACAACGCCTGTCAATCGAGCAATATGATCCGATATTTATTGGATGAAGTTCGTATGTTTGGTCATGATAGGATAAACTAATGAGTATAGTTTCTTCGCCAATGAACGTCGATTCACCAACTTCAAGTAACCATGGAGCATCGATCGCTGTTGTATAAATGTGTGCATGCTGACCAATCTGCGCACCACATAGTCGAAGGTAAAAGTTATAAAATGAAGTACCCAAAAAATGTGACAACCAATAAGAGTTGTTTATTGACCATAAACGTTCCAAGAACCACCAACGATAATAACACCATGAATACAGTTTGTCATTTTTCTTCGTAGTTTTTTCGAACCGGAAAAGCAAGCGTTGACAAGCAATATACGATAAAAGATGGGCTATAGGCACAAAAATAAAAATGAAACAAGACTCAGACCGATACACTGTCCATATGGGCAATAGCCATTGACATACGAGTAGCAGAATGCCTAACGTTTCAATAAATAAGGATGATGTTAGTCGATCGGAATCTTCCTTTAAATCTGCCATCACGGTTGCAAGAGGCACTTCCTCTTGTAAGGCCAGCAATGGTTGAAGAGCTCGGGCGAGTTGTCGAATTGAAGGATTGGCAAACAGAATAGGGACGTCAACACTCATGCATATTTCTTGTCGAATCAATGACAATGCTCGAATGGCATCAAGTGATGTACCACCCATTTCTCCAAAGGCCACGTTCACATTAGGTCGTTCATTATGAAAAGCTTCGGCATAGATGCTGCGAATACGTTCTTCAAGAGGTGTCAGAGTCATCGAATCAGAATAATCAGCATCATCCAACATTGAAAAGTCGGGAGTGGGCAGACGCTTTCGATCCACTTTCCCATTTTCATTCAAGGGTAACTGATCAAGTACAACGAATATTGAAGGAACCATGAATGGTGGTAGACGAGAATGACAATGTTTGCGCAAATCGTCTTCATTAATATTAGAGCATTGTACATAAGCTGCTAAATGATCTTCATCACATTTCACGATCACACAGGCGGTGATGTGAGTGTCTAGTAAACATCGTTCAATTTCATCAATTTCAATGCATTGTCCATGGCGCTTCACTTGGTGATCTTTACGACCGATGTAGTAAATCAGACCGTTGCTATCCATTCGAACTAGGTCACCTGTTCGATAATACATTTCACCGTCAATTTCGGCTAGTGCTTTTTCTGTCAAATCATCGCGGCCGAAATAACCTGCAAAGACACCTGCGCCTCCTACTAAGAGCTCACCCTGCTGACCGATGAATACGTGTCGTCCAAATTCGTCATGAATTAGGCATTTGTAGTTGGGAAGTGGACGACCGATCGGAATCGAACCTCTGTGATATGTTGAATTTATTTGATGGTGAACGGAAAAAATCGTCGTCTCAGCTGGTCCGTATCCATTCCAAAGGTGACAATGGGTAGTGACAATATTTTTTCTCCGTTCAATCAACTTGCTAGAAACAGTTTCGCCTATTTAAGTAAATATAAAATGATTGCTAATATAATTTATACTTGTTGCAGCTTACGAACCTCCAACACAAAGTGATCGCATTGATTTTAATGGCGGAATGTGAAACTGCTCGAAGAAATCGCAGAGACCATTGAGAAATGCTGGCACAGAAAACATGTAAGTGATTTGTTTATCGTTGAGAACTGTAGCGAGGTACACAAGATCCATGTTACCCTGAGGTCGGAGCATGATGACTGTGGCACCCAGTATGAATGCTCCCAAAGTTTCTAGCATATGTGCATCAAACGAACACTGAGCAAGTTGTACAATTATGTCGTTCTCAGTGAGCATGTCAACATTTTTCAGCGAATGAAGACAAGCAACGAGATTTCTATGGCGTAGTTGAATCTAAAACGAGAAGGGTTTGATCGAACGCAACTAGTAAAGTAATTAGAAACTAACCGCTTTCGGTATTCCAGTTGATCCACTTGTGAAGACGATTGCTGCGATTTCCTCAGGTCTTACCATGATAGATGAGAGTCGATCGAGATCATACACATTTGATGTATGATAATCATTCACAATTGCGTCAATGTCTATCGTAACAATATCGCCAGTGAATCTGTTTTGTGTTTTCGAATGAACAAGAACAAGACGAGTTCCAGTTTGTTCTAGTAGCATCATGAGACGTTGGTCAGGATTTTGAGGCGACAGTGGACAATATACAGCGCCAACAATCTCGATGGCCATCATGCCAATAACCTAAAAACACAAGCGTTAAGCTCATTCACATAGACAACTATAGGTATTATTTTTTTGAATGATTCTACATATCAATACAACGACCTGAAAGAACCTGATCGGCCGATTACATCGCTTGCGTCTAAAATATTCGAGCAAGGTGTAGAATTGAAAAATGTAGTGTGAAAAAAACTGTAAAACTAGATTCGAGATAATGGCATCTCATTTTACGCTACTTGCGAGGTGTGGATGAAACAAGAAGATACGCACCCAGCCACATCCGATAAGTGATAAAGATATTTTTGTTTTTTTTCTCGTATAATCAATGAGAGATCAGAGAAGAAGGGTGTGGATGTGGGTGTGGGTCTGTGGATGTGGATAGAGATGTAGATGTAGATATTCCTTTCTTCTACACCCATACCAACTATCACGCCTACACCAACACTCATATCCAAAGCTCACAATTACACTCAAACACCCACACATTCTGGGATAATAAGCATGACGAAGTCGACAACAGGTTAATGACATGATTTGATAGATTGTCGCGATTCAAATTGATTTCTTAAGAAACTCACCATTGATAAGCTTCGTTCTACACATTGGCAGATGAATTCACCCAGCTTAACATCATACTTCTCCAACAGATGAAGAGCAAGGAGTTGTTCCCGGTGCAAAACTTCACTATACGTTAAACACTGATCATCGAGCTCGACTGCAACTTTTTGCGCCCATCTCACAGCTTGTTCGCAGAATAATTGGTTGATAGTGTACTTTGTCTTTGCGTTTTCATAATTACTAGTGCAGTTCAATTCACGCATGAGTGCCAAGTCATTGGGCAAAAGTATTGATAGTTTCCACAATGGTTGATTGACAGTTGAATCTCCAAGAGGCTCAAATAGTTGACGCATGAGTAAAACCAATTGATCAGCCATCCTCTCTGCGATTGTTTGATCGAACAGATCTTGGGAGCAGACAAAGCAACATGAAAGTCTTTCATATTGTGATGATGAATTGTAAAGAAAATTCACCATCAAGTCAAATTTAGCTACTTGTGATTTGTACAATGGCACTGCCACGAGTTGTGCACTATCAAGAACTAGCTGGTCATCGTCTGTTGAAGTGATACGAAAATCAAATACGGTTTCGAGAAAATTGACTGACGACTGTTGTTGATGAGAATCAGCTAGAATAAGCTGAAGAGGGTAATGTGAATGTTCAACAATCGACAAGCATTTATCTTGAACTTGTTCGACAAGGCGATCGAAGGAGCCATATGGATCAAGTTGAATGCGATAGGGTAATGTAGCGACAAACATACCGATAAGATTTTGTATTTCAGCTCTGTATCGGTTAGCATTGACGCAAGCAACGCATAAGTCATTTCGACCGTTGCACAACTTGAACAGAAATGCGTAAAATGTCGCGAGGCCAAGTTGGAACGGTGTAACATTATGTGAGAAGGCATACGCTAAGAAGGCGGTTGAGAGGTTTTTGTCGAGCGAGAACTCAGCAGAACAAGCAACGCCTGATCGTTCGCCAAGTCTTGAATGAAACCGATTGACGGGTAATGATAAATGATGTTCAAAGTCGTATCCATCCATTTGTGACTGCCAAAAATCACGCGATGTTGTCATATCCATTTGGCGCTCATGTGTCGAATAATCGATATACTGCAATGATCGCTCATTCATCGACAAACTTCTATCGGTGTTATATGCGATGGACAGATCATGGTAGACCATTGGAGCAGAAGCACGATCAAATGCCGCATGATGGAAAGCAAATGCAATTACGTCAGAAGCAGTGATCAAATCACTATTACTACTTCTACTCGAGGATGCATAGCGTAGAATTTCACAATGAACTACACGTCCCTTTGATAAATCGAATAGAGCTGGATCAGTGATTATGTCCAGAAGAATCGAGTTAAGCTCATCATCGCTTCCGAATGTTTTCTTCTTGATCACTGTAAAAGTTTCGTGCATGTTGTGAAGAATTTTTTGCATTACAATGCCGTCATTGGTGTTGAAAAAAAGACAGCTGCGCAATACTTTGTGCTGTTCCAAAAGCGATATAATGGCTTTTTGTAAGCGTTTGACTGACATTGAACCGCTTACCAATCGAAATACACTCAATTCATTGTACACGGCAACTTTTTTCGAGAAACGCACGTGTTCATCAAGAAAAATCCGTTCTTGGGCGAATGATGCAATACCTAAAAAAGTCAACAAGGTATATAATTCAATCAGACAATCAGAAAAAGATTTCCCTACCTTCGTCTACATGCAATGTCGCCCATACCTCGGATTTCATAGCGACAAACTCGATTGTTTCGAGTAATTTTGCATGTTCAGCGATAGTTGCCTGCTGAAGAAATGGTGTAATGGGGAGCATCTGACTGTCAAAACCAAATACCGACTGATAATGATGGTAGAGTTGTATGAAAAGTAGTGAATGACCACCCACAGTGAAGAAACCAGCTGTTGTTGAAATCTTCTTGTCAATACTTTGTAGTACTTTACACCAAAGATCATGCACACGTTCTTCCATTCCAGTACGAGGGACATTATATGTGTTACTCGTTGAAGTACTCAATGAAGAGAAGTCAGGAACGGGAAGACGCTTCCGATCCACTTTCCCGTTTGAATTCAATGGTAACTGATCCAGCACGACGAACATCGAAGGAATCATGAATGGTGGAAGACGAGAACGACAATGATTGCGTAAATCGTCTTCATTAATATCAGATCCTTGTACATAAGCCACTAAATGGTCGTTTCCCCATTTCACGACAATACAAGTAGCAATATGAGTATCAAGTAAACAGCGTTCGATTTCACCTACTTCGATACGTTGTCCATGCAATTTCACCTGGTAATCTTTACGACCGATGTAGTGAATCACACCGCTGCTATCCATTCGAACAAGATCACCTGTTCGATAGTACATTAGTTCGTTGATTTTGACTAATGCTTTTGCAGTCAAATCATCACGACCGAGATAACCAGCAAATACACCTACGCCTCCCACTAACAGTTCACCCTGTTGATGCACGATTACAGGTTGTTGAAACTCGTCATGGATTATGCAGCAGTAATTTGGCAGTGGCCGACCGATTGGGATGGTTGTTTTATCCGAACAAGAGTCAACAATATGATATGTACTGATTACTGATGTTTCGGCGGGTCCATATAAATTCCATATCCGACATTCTTTCGAAGTGTGCTTTCTGAGTTTCGTCACCAGCTTGTTTGAAAGAACCTCACCTAAACAATCAATAAAATAATTTTCTCTTCTAGACTACAGTCAACGCTTCTCACCACCGGATGCTATCGATCGAATCATCGCTAAATAAGAGCCACTTTCCTCATCGAGGAAGTCACATAGACTATTCAGTAGTGTAGGCACCGTGAACATATTTGTGATCTGCTTATCTTGTATCGTCTTAGTCAAATAAGCGAAGTCCATGTTTCCCTGCGGTTGAAGCATAATTAATGAAGCGCCAATCATTAAAGATCCCATAATTTCTAAGATATGTACATCGAACGAGCAGCCAGTTATCTGTATAACAATGTCATTCTCACTGAAAATGCCTATTTTCAAATGCGAACGAACGGATTGGTTAAAATTTCTATGTCGCATCGCAACCTGTAACGAAAATCACGATACTCTCTTTCATCAACATCGTATGTTCTCTGAATTTTATACATACTGCTTTTGGCAGGCCTGTTGAGCCACTTGTGAAAATCACATACGCGAGATTTTCTGACGATACCGGAATCGCTGATAATAGCTCGAGATCGGCACCACTGATGACATCCTCAGGATTGACGGCTCTGTCAATGTCAACTGTAAGGACATTATTTTCAAATTTATTCTGCGTCATGCAGTGAACCAAAACCAGATGACTTTGAGTATGCTTCAGTAATGTGTGCAGACGTTGTTCAGGGTTTCGAGGTGAAAGTGGGCAGTAAGCGCCGCCAGCCATCTCGATTGACATGATACCAACAACCTAAACATATAGAAATTCTCCTTTCTAGATTTACATACGAGTATTTCGAACAGACTCACCATGAATAAACTTCGCTCTACACATTGACCAATAATATCACCAGGTTTAATCTCATACTTGTCAAGCAGATGAAGAGCTAACAGTTGGGCATAATAGAGAAGTTCACTGTACGTTAATGATTGATCATCAAGTTCGACAGCCACTTTTTGTGATAATTCCATTGCTCGATCGGTAAATGCTTGATGTACACAATTGATAGAAGGAAAAGAATCGGGTACCTTATTTATGGATTGGATGAGTTGATTTTCTTCTGGTAATATCAATGAAACTTTGTAGATTGGCTCTG